ATAAAAATAAAGAAAATGGCGCCCAATAGAAGTCTATACAACAAATCTCAAATCACAATTTTCATTTGGAAAGAAATTTTTTTACCGAAAATATACGAATATCTCGGAAACCTCTCTGTTTTTATATTGAACAAATTTGTGGTTATTTAAAAAATAGAAATATATAATTTCACCATTTGAAATGAAAAATTAAAAAAAAAACGAAAAATTGCTCTCCGTAATTTTCTCGGCCTCCACTTTTGCCGGATATTGCCGTAATACGATTTTCTCCCCTTTTCACCCTCCCAAAAAACTTAGTCCCACTCCCTTGCTCACGTAATTATTGATTATTAAGGGGTGCTCTCAATATATATTTTCAAAAATTTCATTTTATAAATAAAATTTTTGTCTTGAAATTGAAAACACTCCTAAGTTTTGTATAAGAAAGTACATAAACTTGTTTTGACATTTGACACTAGTTTTGAATCAAAATCTTTCACTTAGATGCGACCAAAGGATATCTTTGGTTGGTATCCACGGTTTTAAGAGTCGAAACTGAAAACATTTCATTTTATATTTTCATTTGGACTTTGTTTTAGAATTTTAGTATTTATGCATAAAATTATACCCTACCCCGATGAGATATCATCGTCAAATAAATGATTATAATTTCAAGAATTTATTTACTTATTTATTCATTCATTCATTCATTTATTTATTTATGTATTTAGATATTTACTTACATGTTCTGGGCTCTCAACAGGCTTGCACCCAATTACAGAGTGACCCGCATAATGCTTTTTAGAAGTGCCTCTGCAGAAGGTCTTTAGTTGTTCGACTCCAGTATTTACATGAAGGATAAACCGAGTTCAACCCCCTGTTTAGATAAGGGGCCAGAAAGAAGGGATGGAGCTGGTAGAAAACGGTTCCTTTCGTTCAGACCTTTAATTAGAATACCATGAAAGATAAAATTAATATCTAATTCTAAGTCTTCTAATTTTAAAAAAAAAGCGCTAAAAAATTAGCGGCCGTCTAAAGGGGTGAAATCCACTCTTGTAACTTAGAAAAGTTGCGATTAATCTAAAGTATTACCAAAAAAAATTGATATTCACTTAGCGACCGTAGGAAGAGGCGAAATTTACCTCGAAATTTACCCTTGTACATTAAAAAATTTGATCTACCACCTACAAAAGTAGCTTTGAAATTTTGATCTTAGAGGACTGATCTCTAGTAATACAAAAAATGACATTTATTTAGCCACCGTATAAAACGGAGAAATCCAACCCTGAAATTTAAAAAAAAAACATGAAAGGTTTCAAATCTTATGTCCTTTTGAAAGGTTACAGTGGGTTTATACATGACGGACCCACGGCCAGAATAGCACAATTTTTATTTTTGTGGAGATGCGCTAAAACCTTGGCTCTCCCTACGCGCAATCAATTTTCCGACACACGTTTTCAATATTCTTTTATAAGGATCATCTTTTGTTAAAATTTCAGAAAAATTGATCTAGGTACTATAGAGAAGTTGAATGTGCGAATACGCATTCTATTTTTATACACTGTGTCCAAGATAAGGATGTCTATCATGGGGGATGTTGAAAACCACAGAAGATGTAGAGAAAAGTTGCGGAATTCAAGAGTTATTATCATGCGGTAAAAAAACCAGAAAATTCCAATTACTTCCGAAAAAATCCCAGAAAATCCGAAATTTGCAGATTTCGTTTTTATTTTTTTGTAATGTTATTTGAACAGATACAAAACAAATAAAATACACGTTCTCATTGCCACTTTTTGAGCTCTAGAAGATTTTCAATACAACCAACAACGTTTCGTTTCGGAGAAATCAACTTTCTTTTTTTTATATGATGGCTCGTAAAAATGGCTCAAGTTTTATTAAAATCGGTGAGGGCTTAGAGAACGTTTAAAAATCCCGTTCGGCTCTGCCGATCAGGTGTACGTAGATTTCTTTAGCTGATTCACGAACATGACCGAGATATTACACCAACCCTTAAAGTTTGGCCGAAATCGGTTCATAATCACGAAAGTTAGAGTGTTTCTTGGAAGAGAAACAGAAATCTATAAACCTATAAATATGGTAACAGTAACCACTACAGGAAGTAGGTATACACGCATACAAAGAATTAAGAAAATGTGCAAGTTACACATAAAATTAATAAAACTGGGAATATTTGTTTAAAAAAATGGAAAAGTGGTATAATTGTGTGAGGAATAAATTTTATTTCCGTAATTAGAGCTATATTTACACTTTTTCATCGATCTCTTAACGTATACATCTTTGCAGTGACTAATAAATAACCTTGTTTTCTTTCTGTAATCAAGCAGATACCTATGTTGTCATTGTCTCTATATTTTGCTTTGATGTTGCAGCGTTTGTTAGATTGTTAGGCAACTAAACATACTTCAAATTGAAATAAAAATCAAGTGGTATTCCCCCTTAATCTTTGATCACAGCCTCTCCATAAATCGGATTAAAATTGCGTATTTATAAACCAAACGAGCTCTTTCATTCCCTCTTTAATTAAACGAACACGTCGTCAAATCTGCTTAACATTCGAGAAAAAATTTTGCCTAATTCTCCTCCTTGCTAAATACGAAAATATACACTTTATATTATGAGAAGATGAATGACAGAAAACCCCGATACCGTCCACATTATATACGTTTGCAAACTTCAACAATATTTTCTGATAAATCAGCGTACGAACACAGCTGTGTTAGCATTATATTTCGCCCCATTCATCGGGTTAGGCAAGCAAGCATATTTGAATGCTGAATATTTTAGCAATTTAAAAATTTAGTTCTAAGTTATCTAATAAACTCCATTAAAAAGGGGTTTGTATTACATGAGCGCGTATCGGAATATAAATTAAGTAATTAATATCTATTAGAGTGATTTAAACTTGAGCGTGAGTTTTAAGTTAATTACCAATTAAACGTTCTTTTTTACGCGGTGGCATTCTGGATTGAAGTTTCAGATAGAATGAGAATTATAATTTGAATAAATAAGTAGCGGTGTTTGTGTAGTCGAAAGTAGATGTAACTCCTTTGAGTACGTATATCTTGAACGCAACCAAACAAAATAATTGTTTAAGATTTACATAAAGTGCATTTCAATGCAGCATATATCCTGTAGTTTATTTATTGAAAGGATACACGACGAAGCGCTTTGCCTATGCAGGATAATTTGCATAAAATAACAAGATTAACAATAGCTTTAAGATATGCTAAAAGAGTGGTACCAAAGTAATGTAAGTTATATTGCAAAGTAATAATATTACTAACTAATAAGAAAGAGAACTTTCTTTGCTAATTAGTAGGAAACCATCTTTTACTTCTTCTAATTCTTTCAATATTTTACTTGCATGGTTTGTACGAATACTATTATGTTTCTTTGGATAAAAATTTTTGTTTTTCTGATAGAGAATACTCACACTTTTTTATTAATAGTCATAATGATATACTTCAAAGAACTTAAATTTACTTGTTTCCTTTGTATAAGTTTGTCACGAGTTATAAGGTGTAGTCAACATGTTTTCCCACCTGTCGCTATAAGTTTTAAAATACAAGAAATGATGGAGACATGTTATCTGGATACCTAGGCAAATGTCTTGTAGATATTGAGATCTGCATGGCCTACAGAAGGGCTTATAATTTTTTGAAGCATCAATTTTTTAAATGGGCCAAAATCAACTGCGATTAATACTTGTCATAGTGTTAACATTACATTATTTACTGCTAGGGTTGTAAAAATTATTTAAGTGAGAAAAAAAGTCTTACTATTAGGTGTTTAACATTTTGGTGTAGTAGGCGTTCGCAAAATGTCAAATTGATTCATTCATGGTACCTGATTCATACAGAATCATATTGTGGTATATCATCATTATATTGGTAATAAAAAATGCTACACAATACATTAATACAGTACTTTTTTCTAATTTAACTGACCGTGTATCTCTTATGGTTTCCGATTTCCCCGTGCTGTTCATTCTTATCTTGGACACACTGTGCAATACTTATATTTATTTTGTGTTAATTAGTAAATGTTTTAATATTTAGATAAATTTCTTTGACATTTTTGTAATATTTTTTTTGTGTTTCGGCAACCTTATCTGAAAGGTACCTTTAAAGTGATTTGAGAGTAACACATGAAAACGCATCTATAACTGTTATAACTGTTTAAGATAAAAATGTTAAGAATTTTTGTTTTGTGTTATCCATTTCGGTTTTGAATATAAAATTTTATATTCAAAGATTTCGGGAATATGCCAGGCGCACACGGAAAAGCCATTTTCCGAACTTTTAATGAAATATACATACTACTACTACTCTATGCTTGAAAACGAACGAATGTTTTTGTGGCTACACTCCAAACGGTTGATATGGCAGAAATGGGAAAAGCCTGCTTGCTTTCGTAATAGGGAAGTTTGTCGTAATCTCTGTGTTATAATTTTTAACCCTATTTCCAGTGCGAAATTTTTTTGGACTCATACAATATCGGCACATTTTCCATTTAATTAATGTATCGTAGCGAATATTCTAGAAATTCCCATAGACATCCAGATTAGTCATCGGCGATAAAAAAGGAAGCACATTCTTTCCGGGAAATGTGATGTGTTTGACCGAGAACATTTGTAGCGTTCAGGAGCACTCGAGGATATTCTAGAAAGATTGTTGTTTGCTATATAAGCAAATCGAATTGTGTTTCAGTTAGTTCTAACATCGATGCGAAGTGAAGCTTTAAGCTCCCGCTCGTGTACTCGTATAAATTGTGAGTGACAAATAATAATTACTGTTATAAATTAATCCCATTCAAGACTGTTATTATTAGTAAATTGTAAATAAATAAATCACATAATTAAAGTTACGTTATGCTATGGCATCATACAGAAGCTACACGGATGGGGTCTGAGGGGACGTCTGCCTCTTTTTCTTGCAGACTATCTGCGAAATAGAAGTTTTAGGCTCAAGTGTGGGGATGTCTTGTCACGACGTAGGGTTATGGAGAATGGCATTCCCCAGGGATCGCCTCTGAGTGTTACTTTGTTTGCGGTGGCTATTAACGACATCGCGGCGAATATTGACCGAAATGTGAAATGTTGCCTTTATGTGGACGACCTAGCGATATTCTGCTCGGGTGCCACGGTCGGCCGAATAACAACAACGCTCCAACCAACTGTAAATCAAATAATTGAAAATGCTGAGAAAGACGGATTTAGATTCTCAAGAGATAAAACGAAGTGCGTGCATTTTTGCCGACTTAGACGACCGCATTACGACCCAGTTATCTTCTTTAAAAATGTTCCTCTATCAATAACTAGAACGGTGAAGTTTTTGGGGCTGGTGATCGATGACCAATTAAGATGGAACCAACACATCAACGAGTTAGTCGATCGGTGCAAGGCGGCAATCAATGTGCTTAAGGTGCTCTCGAGTACTAGATGGGGTGCCGATACTGATACTCTACTAAATATCCATCAATCCTTGATACTCTCAAAGATGGATTATGGGTGACAAGTTTATGGTTCGGCTCGCAAGTCGGCTTTGGCCAGACTGGACCCTGTACACCACCGGGGGATAAGGTACTCGCTGGGTGCGGTCCATACCAGCCCCCTGAATAAATTGTATACAGAATCTGGATTATCGGCACTGTCACGCAGACGAGATAAGTTAATTAGTGGATACGCGGCAGGAATCCGAGCCCAACCGAATCATCCTAATTATGATCTTTTGTTTGGGGAAAAGCGAGGTTTCATTGACAGGCCCTCCATTACTAGGCCGACGGGAGTGAGAGCGTTGGAACTGCTTGACAAGTTGAATATTGACGTCCCTCATGTGTCCCCGATTGGACATGGAGAGGTTCCATATTGGACGATGCCAGAAATTGAAGTTAATCTCCAGCTTGCTGAGTACCGGAAGGAGATTACGTCGCCGACAATATTTAGGAATTCTTTCAATGCTTTGCTGGACCAATATCGCGAATTAACTGCGATCTATACAGATGGATCACTTACTCATTCAGGAGCAGGTAGTGCCATATGCGTCGGTGATTCGTCGTATGGGTGGACACTTTCTCCCATGTATTCAAGTTATGGAGCAGAGTTGTATGCGCTGTGGCAAGCTCTCCTCTACTCCTCTTTTCAGAAAGGACGCGGATTTCTAATAGCATGTGATAACGTCAGTGTCCTTGTCAGTTTAAGAAACCTTTTCTCCCGTGATCCTCTTATACAGAGAATTCAGGCCCTATATAAGGATCTTAGTGAGATGGATAAGAGAATCGTATTTGCGTGGGTACCCGGCCATGTAGGTATAGAGGGTAACGAATCGGCCGATGCAGCAGCTAAACAAGCTGCAGGAGGAGATCGTATAGATGTCAGCGAGTTAAGACATGTAGGTCTAAAAATGGCTCTAAGAGCGGCAGTAGGTGTCCTGAAAAGATGGAAACCGCCCCTAGAGTTAACTCGAAGGGAACGAGTAAAAATACATCGTGTGCGGATAGGCCACACTGATCTCACTCACACATTCCTATTACGTGGTGAGCCTCCTCCCCTATGTCTTTACTGTGGGGAACAGATCACTGTCGAACACATTTTACATGTGTGTCCCCAGTTGGCGATCAGTAGGGGACGTTTTGAGCTACTTGCGAACCCACTAGAAATGACCCGAACAGCTGGAAATATCAGAAAATTAATAGCTTTTTTAAAGGAAATTGATGTATTCGGAAAACTATAAGTAGTTTTGCGTAGGTTAGACATATAATAGGCTAATGACCTTAGCTGTCGATGCCTTTAATAAAAAAAAAAAAAAACTAATAAATGTTATTTACATAATTGCTTTTATTAAACATTTTAAGGTTATTATTAGTATAACTGGAGTATCATTTGTGTTGCGGCAAATGTTATATTTCATAAGAGCGGTATACATGCAATAATTAATGATCGCTCTGTATATCAGTGTCCAATTTTCAATATTACTTAGTTTTTAACAGCAAATGCCGTGACATTTATGGTTTAAATGCTAACTTTTTGAAGCATAATGCTGGTTTATTCGTCGAACCCCTGACGGCCATCTTTACTCTAATAACACTGGAGAGTTTCCTCAGTTACTGAAACTTGTCATTCTAATACCCAAGAAGGGTACCCAGGTCGACATAATTTCATACCAATTTCGATTGTCGCTATTTTTTTGAAAGTACTGGAATCGAATTTCTACAAGCAAATGATGTCGCTTCTTCTGCCATATAGGGTGTAGGTAACCAGCTATTTCTACGTCTGAACTGCATAGAACGATTTTATAAATTCGAAAAGAAACACCTTGACTATTTTCTGGTTACTGCAATTTCATTAGGAGCCCCAGCAGGGGCGTAATTGGGGCCCGGGCAGCATGAAGCTTGCGCGGGGGGGGGGCCTATGGGGACCCCTCCTTGGTCACCCTAGTTGAGAAAAATTTGAAAAAAACATGTTAAGTATAATTTAAATTATTAGATTACCTATATATAAGATAGGTAGATATTCGCTCACTCCAAGGCAACATTGGTTTTTTGGTAAAAAGCAAGATGATAATTTTCAAAATAAGATATAATCCGAATAGCGGTTCTCTTGATAGTTACTTAACAAATATTTCTTTTCTAAATTTATATCCTGTCCGAAGCGGCAAACGCTTGATTAAAACTTACAACGTTTGTAAAAATGTTTATTTGTTACTCAGTTGTAAACTTTGATTAACAAGACAAAACGCAAACGGGTAAACGTCATCTTTAAACGCTACTGACTTGTAAAACTGACAGCTGACGTGTAAAAATTTTACAAGTTAGTAATCTAGTAATTTCATTGGCCAGATTTAATGCAAAGTCTCTTTTACATGGATAATATGATATTTTAGACATTTCTTCGAGATCAATTTAAGAACTAATTATTTACGTTTACAAATGAGTAACAAATAAAATATTGTACAATATACGCCAGATAATAGTTTTTACTGGGTCTAGGAGATGACGGACTCGCCTGACGGCTATCCAGTCAATTTCTCCTATCGCCAGTAAAAACTCACTTACCTGGCTAATAATATAAAATACTATTATTTGTTACTCAGTTGTAAACGTTGATTAACAAGACAAAACGCAAACGGGTAAACGTCATATTAAACGCTACTGACTTGTAAAACTGACAGCTGACGTGTAAAAATTACTGTAAAAAGTTAGTAGTCTAGTAATTTCATTGGCCAGAATTAATGCGAAGTCTCTGTTACATGGAAAATTTTTTGCTTACTTAGAAATCCAATGAAATTTGTATATTTGAGGTCATGTGAATAAAAATATCCAATTACAGCAACATTACACTGATAACAGATCCCATGGGCTGTTTTCACTTCGTTGCTACAGATACGCATGAATGTCAATTTTGAAATTTTGAAACGAAATTATCGAGTCAAATACACCCAGAAATACTGTATACAGTAAGAAATTTGTTTGGAAAGCTTTTATGGACTTTTGCAGTATTAGAAATTATGAATTAGATGGAAGCCGAACGGTAGAAGAATTGGCGTCAATTTTAAAAGATTGGGCCGTGAATATGAGAAGAAAAGATGGTACGCAGTTTAAAGAAGCTTCGGTCAAAACTATGTGGAATGTAACAAGTAAGCTTTTACAAGAAAAGTATTTTAAGGAAAGTAATGTTATAATTGACCCGTTCAAAAGTGTTGTATTTCACAAGCGCGAGCGGCCCGCGATTGTGCACGGCGAAAACTGCAGTCTGATCCTACTAAAAGAAAACAAAGTTCTGTAGCATTAAGTTTGACAGAAGTAACAAACATGATCAATTTGTGGGATGAAGAAACTCCTGAAGGGCTGCAACGGAAATTCTACTATATAGCCGCGATAGAATTAGCTTGGAGAGGTGGGGAAGCTGCTTCATGCTTAACGGACTTTTTTTGTATCGAAACAAGTAACGATGGGTCTGAAACAAATCGAATTGAATATAATCCTATATTTAGCAAGACTTGCCAAGGTGTATCAAAAATGTTCACACAAAGCAAATTTTTAGTGAAAAACGATGACGCAACATTTGCCCTGTCAGATTGTATAATAAATTAATTTCAAAAAGAGGCTCAAACATTAAAACAAACAGATTGTTTTTAAGACCAAATCGTCACTGGAAATCGAAAAACGATCACTGGTATGACAATATGCCTATATAGGGAAAAATACAATTCAACACTGGACAAAATCATCTGCAGAAGCAATTGGCTTAAATACTCAAGAGAAAAAGATTACGGGTGGAATTCATAGATATTACTTAAGTTACACTTACACTTTACTCATACTTAGCGCGTACTTAGTGGTATTCAAAGATATAGTTAAGGTGACGCATGACATTATAGCTATAGTAACGCGCGAAATTCGGACAGATACTAGCAGTAAATATAAGTTCCACTTAAACAAAACTAAGTGTGCACTTAGTAAAGTGTAAGTCTAACTTAAGTAATGTCTATGAATTCCACCCTACAAATCACTCGAACAGATCAACCGCAGTTAGTCAACTGGCAAAAAATGGGGTTCAAGAGCAGCAGCTCATAAAGATTACAGGCCACAACAACGCTAACTCCATAAAACCTTACTTAAATATTGACCAAGAACATCACAACCTAATTATTAACAGCATGCGTGAAAATACATCGTCGTCAGTTATTGAAACTAACACCTCTGGGTCTTCGTTTAATTTTTCGAATTGTTCATTTACTAATTGTACCTTTAAATAAATAATTTTTAATTAATAAGTAAGGTTGCTATTGACAACGTGCGCGAAATCGTCAACAGTGAAAAAAAGTATTTCGTGCACGTGACAAAGTTGAACTTAAACAGCAAATTTAATTAACAATCGGTTCAGTTGTAGAAAAAATCGCGAAGTTATTTCGCGATTTTGACTGATATTTTGACTCGGCTTCGCCTCGTCAAAATACCTTCAGTCTCAATGCGCGAAATTGAACTTCCCGCTCTTGTTATATAAATAACTATTGTGTTTGTATTTATTTCCGCCTACTGCCTCGGTCTGTTTCCAAGCAACAAGCTTTTGAAGTCTGTTATGAAATTTTTTCGTACAATTATCAATGTCCTTGGGTTATTACTACTGATAACATGATATTTTAGACATTTCTTCAAGATCAATTTATCAACTAATTATTTACGTTTACTATTGTTTACAAATGAGTAACAAATAAAATATTGTACATTATACGCCAGGTAATAGTTCTTACTGGCTCTAGGAGATGACAAGCTCGCCTAACGGCTCGCTAGTCAACTTCTCCTATCGCCAGTAAAAAACTCACTTACCTGGCTAATAATGTAAATTACCTTTTTGTTGTTTTGCAAAATGGAATCTTTTGGTTTTATCTTTACGCTTACACTAGTACGTGACTTTCGACAATTTAGTAATACCATAGTGTAATTCTATTATTTACACTAAGGTAATACCTATTTACCTAGTTTTGCACATTAGTTTAAAATAGTATAAATGTAAACTAATTTAAGTTTTTCACACTTTATTTCTTTACGTTAACACAAAAAAGGACAATACGAAATATTGGAGCGTCTATATCGTCTTAAATTAATCTCCGAATGCCCAATTGTCCACCGGTGCGGTGTTCGGTGTCGCCAACGCCAAGTGAGAAAAAAAAAAGGGGGGGGGGAGAGCAACAAGTTTGTTGCGCCACTGAGTTCCACTTTAAAATAGTCTGTTAATAATGCAAGATTGCAACGCACTGCAATTTGTGATTCCGACACTTTTTTTATCACGAGCGCTCCACTTCTGCATTTTGCAACACTCACAACGCAACAGTACAGTACAATACTGAACTCGAGATGTTTGCAACAATCGACTATATTTTATTTGCTGGGACGATAATCGTTAGCCTATGTATCGGGATTTATTTCGGATTTTCGAAAAAGTCTCAAACTACAGACGAATATCTTTTAGGCGGTCGAGAGATGCAGGTTATTCCTATCTCAGTGTCGCTCGTTGCAAGGTGAGAATGCATACAATTTTGCAAATTTACGCTAAATTTTCAGTTACATTTCCGGACTGACGGTCTTAGGAGTTCCCTCCGATGTTTATGTTTACGGCGCAAATACCGTATGGGTGTGTCTGTCGATCGTGATCGCGTCCATTGTGGGTTATTTCGTTTTCATACCCGTGATATTAAAGTTGCAGGGCCCTACTATTTTTGAGTACTTCGAATTGCGGTTTGATCGAAAACTCAAAGTCATGGCTACGTGCATGTATACCCTGCAGATCTTACTGTACAGTCCAGTGGTGGCGTATATTCCAGCAATAGCGTTTTCGCAAGGTAAACAGCCAGTTTAAATCATATAATACTCTCCCCTTTTTAGCAACCGGCATTAATCCACATGTTATTATCCCAGTTGTTTGCGCTACTTGCGTGTTATATACATGCGTTGGGGGTTTTAAAGCGGTAATTTGGACGGATGTGTTTCAGTTCCTAGGGACGATTACATCAATTGTTGCAGTGCTCATTTTTGGAATACAATCAGTAGGAGGAATCGGTGAGGTGTACAAAAAGGCTTCGCGAGGTCATCGCTTGGATTTCAAGTAAATCCTCATTGAACAGATCTATAATACCTACTAAAATAATTAAAGTTTCAGTATGGACCCTACGCAACGCGATGGATTTTGGCAGATGGCTATAGGATTTGCGACACACTGGATTTACAATCTCAC